CAAAAAATATATCCTAAGTGCACATGTTATTACTATTACTATTACCAATGCCTGCATCTCATTCATCTTCTACTATTAAGCAAACAACTGTTGTAACTGAGCCTCAATTTGAGTCTGCAATTGGGACTTTGTGTCCTCACTTTCAACGGTCAAGGAGGTCACCAACTATTGCATTTTATAGCCCTTTACATAAAGATACACCATGAAGCTAGCTCGCTTGCTACTCCTATATCGACTTGCAGATCCTCCTAACCTGAATACTCGTCCTTTTTTATTAAATCCACCAGCAGTTTGAAGGAAGAGATCATTATCGGACTGAGAGAAGGATGCAGCATATGTAGCCTACGTCGCCTTCTCTTGCTGCAGATTCTGGTAGGTCTTCTACAGAAAAAAGTATTTATAAGGATAAAACTTGGCTAGTTTGAACCGGTTTTCACCTAGTTCGATACGTGGCCTGATACTTGACTCAAACTGATCCAATGACGAGTCGTGGGTTCCGGATTGACCCAGCCGGTTCTAGCTCGGGTTTGATAACACTGATGCCAATTCTCATAGATTCGTGTTAAATGTTTGTCCTCAATTCAATCTTCTTTTCTGTGTTGGTTCTGCGGTGTGCTTCTTTGAGATGAGTGCTTTTATGCTTGGCCAAAACATTACAAGTCTGTGTGGGAGTTGTTATCCCTTGGAGTAAATCTAGCTTCTTCAACATCTTAAATTTTAGAGAATAACATCAGAATCCTGATCATCAAGTGAAATAAAAATCAAATTTACAAAAGGTATACTTATTACCATCATTACAGAACGAATATTGTAGTCCACAAATCATAATAAAGGCGCGAAAGATGTAACTATAACAATATTAAAAGAACGGGGAATAAAGGAATAACATATTTGGAAAATGGGGTATTTTACATGATAGATAGTCTTTTTTACATGCTTATTTTAAAGGTTGTGGTAGAGTTATGATTTTTAAAGCTAAATGTTAGGTGTGGTAATTGACTTATACTATGAGATATAATTTGTTATTTTTTAATTTGGTAATTGAGTTTAAATTCATAAAATCATACACTTTTAAAAATTATATATTTTTCTCTCTCTTATCTCTTCATCAATGAGTGAAAATGAGTGATTATAATCAAATAACATAACTACATGACCATTTTTCCATTTGAGAAGATCTAAATTCGCTACTAAAATCATCTTAATAGAGAAGGCAATACAAGGCCTTAGTTGTAGGGGTGTTAATGGGCCGAGCCGAGTCGAGCCGAGCTTTAGTCTTAAAAGGCTAAGCATGTATTTAAATGTGTCAGCCTGACCAAGCCTGTTACCTGTTATAAATATAATTATCAGCCTGTGGCCTGCTTATTTACAAAAAATAAAAGTCTGGTTTAGCCTGTTTACAAAAAATAAGACAACAAAACTTTATCCAAACAGAATATACAATCAACAACAATAATAATTCCATAAATATTCATAAATTCAATATATATCAAAACAACATAATATAGAACAAAATCATTCAAAAAATCTGTTTAACCAATAAAATGGGGTGAAATGGATTGAGGAGAAAGAGAGGGCTATTATATAATAACCCTCACTAGTAATTGTGGATTTAATATTGAAAAATAATTAGAAGTAAAAGAAATAAAGTCACTTTTGGTGAAAAAGGAGTTAAAATGACAGTTAAGGGGTAAAAATAAGGGTAAACAAAGTTACCCAAAAAGTGAAAGTAAAGTTAAAAATATGACTAGAAAAATATTCTAGTCCAATGGGCAAAGTTTGGTAATGAATGGAGGTGTATAGATAGATAAGCTGTTACCGAGTTAAAGTAACTTAGCCTATTTAACTTTCTGGACACCGTAGCACCCCCTATTTCTCCTTCCATTCCCGTGAGCGCCTGTGTCTTTCTTTCTCCATGGAAGCTTAAGGGTTTAATTTTCTTTCCTTTGATTTCTCACTCTACAAGCATCCAAATCATTAAGTGCATTAGACGAAATTCATAGTAAATCACCCAATGAATCCATTCCACCACTTAGTTTGAGCTAAAATTGCTTGTGGAGAGAGTTCTTCCCCATCCCCAATTTGTGGCACTATTCACCCAAGTGAAAAAATGTGGATTTTAAGTGAGCAAAAGCTTGGGTTTTGTTTTCCAAGCCTTCTATAGGTGATTTGAGGTAAGAGATCATTATTCCAATGGTTTAAATGTCATGATTTAAGTTTTGAATATTATGAGCATATGTTATGGAATATTATTGAGTTGGAATATTGAAATTTATGATGGATTAGTGTTGTTAATGAAGTTATAATGTTAAATAAGCAGGACTATGAGTTTGAATGCTGAAAAATTTCCTTGCATCTCCCTCCCTGGAATTCAGCCATGTAGTGATGGTAGGGGTGTATGTGCAAAAATTTAATTGCTTGGTTTGTGGAGGATTATATGTATTTGGGAGTGTGAATTGAGTAATTAAATTGAAAGTATAAAAGATAATCCTTTGAAAAACCCTTCTCTTTGAATTCGACCTATAGGGTTATGTGGGCGTTGATTATGTTAAAAATTATTTTGGTGATGTGTTTAGTTTCTAATGCATGGTTTTAGTATGATTTCGAAGTGAAAGGGTTTAAAAAATAATGAGAGACACCTTGGCTCCTTTGTATGTTTCATCGGCCTTAAATTGGGAGAAATAGGCTTTTAGGTGCTAAGAGGAGTAATGAGTGTTCTAAAGGTCTTTTGGGACTATTCTAAGACTAAGCGAATATGTGGAATTTTGTGGGGATTTGTTGAACAAAGAACCACCCACTCATGACTTAATATGATTAAGTAAAAAATAAAATAAACAATAAAGTATGTGTCTTGTATATTTACATGACATTATATCATTTTATTGAGTTTTGTGTTGAATTCCTTCTAATAGGTGTGCATAGGAATTGTGAACGTTTGGATTCTCGTGGAGCAAGATAAGTAGCTTGTTCTTCAAGTAAGCAAATTGTAAAGCTCCAAGAGGCAAGCTCTATGTTTATGGGGTTCGCTCCTACTTTGTGTTCCGCCATAGTGTACGGACTGTGGTCAGGTTGCATGATATGTATGAGATATATGATATAGATGCATTCATATAGAGCTATATGATGATGTGATATGATATGTTTTGATGTTTTTAATTTGATATGTTTCGATGTGTTTAATTCAATATGTTTTGATGTGTTTACTTTGATATGTTTCGATATGATTTCTGTAATGATTTCTGGACATTGATTTGTTTATGCATTGATGTCCGCTTGGGGTCCTCCCTTGGGACTGACTGTGTATATATCTGTTATATGTTGAGTTTTGCTTGGGGTCCTCCCTTGGGAACATGTGCACTGATTTTCGCTTGGGGTCCTCCCTTGGGATTGATTGTGTACACTCTGTTATGTGATGATCTTTGGTCATTGATCCTATGTGCACTGATGTCTGCTTGGGGTCATCCCTCAGGACTGATAGTGTACATCTCTGATATGTTTTTGGTTCCGCATGGGGTCCTCCTTTGAGAACATGTACGTTGATTTCTGCTTGGGGTCATCCCTTGGGAATGACTACGTACATCTCTGATATGATATGCTTTGTTTTGATGTGATTATCGTGATGATTTTTGTATATGATATTTGTTACGTGCTTTGATTTTCGCTTGGGGTCATCCCTTGGGAATGACTGCGTACGTCTCTGATAAGATTTGTGTATATGCTTTGTTTAGTTATGATATTTGATTATATGATATGTTATACGAGATATGTTTAGTATAATATGATATATGATGTTTTGTATATTATGTATATGACTGTCATGCAGGAAGTGAGCCCAGGGTATGGAGAGTTCTCTATAAACCTGGAGCTTACTAGAGATTCGTCTCTAACCCCGTTTGGGGATATGATTTCAGGAACACAATTAATTGAAGAGCTCTCATGGGACAAGGACACTACCCGTGGCTAGAGGTACTAGTATGAGAATATGGAGTTCTGGGTAGCCGGATGCAACTATTTATTATAGATGTTATTTTTGGAGAACATGTACTGTTGTATAGTGTTATATTCATTTGGTGATCATGATGTCTGATCCTTTATTTTGTATATGGCCTGTATATGTTTTGTACATGTCTTTCAGTTGGATGCATGTACATTTGAGTATTCAGGCATGTTGATATGATGATATAGTATTCAATTTATGTTTATGTGTTGGATTGCATGCTGTTAGACATAGTGGCATAGAGCTAAGTTATGCATACGCCCATGGATGTGTATATGATCTTATATGGATATCTGGTATATTTGAAAGTATATACTGTATAAATTGTATATCAGCGTACCTTGAGAGTGGGATTTGCAAATCCCCAGTTGTCCGATTTACAGAGGTTACTCTGTCCGATTTTCGTCTCAGTCAAATAAGAATTAAATTAGAAGAAGTATGCCATGTCATGTGAAAAAAGATTAAAGAAAAAAGAAAAAATTAGCTCGTATTTTCGTAAGTTAAGTCTTCTGCTGTTTCTGTTTGTATCATATGTATATTAATTGAACCGGCTCGAGACGGGGATGTTACATATTACAAATAGTATAAAAAATATAAAATATAAATAAAAAATAATATATTAAGCCAGCCTGAGAGGCTCTAAGGCCGAGCTTTTGAATTGGAGCCTGAGACTTTTTTATTAAATGAGCTTTTATACAAGTTCAAGTCTGATACTAACAACCAATTTTAGACATGCAAACTCAGACCTTCACGAGCTGAGCCAAAAGCTCTTGAAATATCCCTGGTTCGTTTAGCACCCGTACTTACTTTTACGGAATTGTTATAAAAATAATGTTTTTTTTAAACGTAGCGAACACAGAATTTTTTTAAAAACATTACAGTAATAATTTTTTTTAATATAATGATCTTACCAAATCAACCATTGTAAGAGGAATATATTTTTCTATATGTAAAAAAAATAAATAGATGAAATGAAACCTAATAAGAAAAAGAAAAAGTGGATCCCCACCTCACATTGTAATTTCCAAAGTAGCCAGCCAATGGGAAGAATAGGAATAAGAATAATTCGTTTCGCACCTTCTTCTCCAACACGCAGAAGAAAACCCGTTTAAGTTTTCGTGTGTCTCAAAACTCACTATCTCGAGACACAAAAATCTGAAACGAAACCCTAGAAAGAGATCGATTTCGATGGGAACGCCAGAGACATCGAGGGAACCGTGCCCGGATCGCATACTCGACGACATCGGCGGTGCGTTCGGGATGGGAGCCGTTGGTGGCTCCGCCTTCCACTTCCTCAAGGGTCTCTACAACTCACCTAAAGGCCACCGTCTCCACGGCGGAGCTCAGGCCGTTCGCCTCAACGCCCCCCGCGTCGGCGGCGGCTTCGCCGTCTGGGGCGGCCTTTTCTCCGTCTTCGACTGTACCATGGTCTACGTCCGCCAGAAGGAGGATCCCTTGAACTCCATCTTCGCCGGCGCAGCCACCGGCGGCTTCCTCTCCATGCGTCAGGGCTTCGCAGCCTCCGCCCGCTCCGCCGCTTTCGGCGGCGCCATCCTCGCCCTCATCGAAGGCGCCGGAATCATGCTCAATAAGTTCCTCATCGCGCAGCAGCCCATGCCCGTCATCATGGACGACCCCTCTCCGCCGCAGGCACGGCCGACGGCGGCGGAATTTCCGTCCGATTCGGGTAAACCGTGGCTCGGGGGGTTGTTCGGTGGAGGTAGAAAAGAAGAGCCAGGCACGAATGGGGGAAGCGAGACGAAGATTCTAGAGAGTTTCGATGCTCCACCTGTGCCCAATTTTGAGTACAAGTAAATGGGGTTTGGTTTTGAGGTAGTGATTTTGTTTATGAAATTTGAGGAAGTTACTGAATTTGTTGTCGGAGGGGTTTGTTTTGAGCCTCACTCATATGATTATCTATCATACCATAAATTAAGGGCATATATAATATAGGATAAAGCATAAAGTATAATACTATAAGATTTGATTGTATAAGATCTGATTAAATTTTAATATTATCTAGTATTTAGCATGATATTGTATAAGATAATATGTGTATAAGATAATATCATCCGATGTTTAGTAATACACTATATAATACCAGATATGTTAAAAAAAATATTTTTGTCAAAAATATCTTTTAATAATGAATTTACATAATTCTTTTAAATATATCACGTAATATTATTTTTTATAGAAATATGTTGATTAGTGTGTACAAAAAAATATATTAATTTTTATAAAAATAAAAATCTTCAAAATTTTAAAAAATTATATATTGAAAAATTATTTTTTATTTTAATATACTAATATTAAAATAATATATTAATTCTTGAGAATTGCTTTGGTTAATACATCAATTTTTTATCAAGCCTAATCCTACATTAAGTTATACATCATTTTGATATATAAAGGAATTCTGCTGTATAAGCTTATACTATACGATGGTCACACTAAAATATAATGTAAATTTATACTATCAGACTTTATACATCATGCTAAACAGGCCTAAATGTTTTCTAATTTTTTTTTATTTTTTTTGTAATTGTACATAATATATGCATAAGTGACGATTCCACTTTGTAGGTGAATAACTTTTGAGTTCTATAATGTTATGTGCAATCAATTTCTGCATATCTGTTAGGTGAATAACATTAGGTTTCATTTCACTTCACGGGATCATTAATTTACTGGGAAATGGGGTATTAATTATGCTAGTTTAGCGTGTGGTTATTGAATTCACATACAATGCGTGTAACAGTTTTTGAATTTTAAACAGAGCGAAGATGGATGATATATTACATGCATAGACCATGCAGTGGAACAAGATGTTGTATAAGAAACATGTTCCACAATAAACTAGTTCAACGTTACCCAAAATGAAGGGGTCGAGGTGGTAAAGCTGGGCATGGTTTGGTTAAAAAAACTGAATCAAACATTTTTTAATGCCAGTTTTCAAACTACACTGGATGTTAAAAAGGGTTTTTCAAGGAGTAATTTAAAAACCAGTTTTTCAATTCGGTTAACCGATTCCTAACTGCAACTTCTAGTCCTCGTTTCCCTTTTTCTTATAATTCACTCAATTTTGCTGCACACAAAACACAGAGAGAAACATAAAAAGCATAGAGATGGCGAATGATCTTGATCCATTTGCAACAGAATCATCCTTCTGCGATGATCTTGATTCAAATAAGAACCAAGGTAAAGCACAGAGAAAACCAGAAACAAAGCAAGATCAATCTTCCTCTTCTTGTGAAATTTACTCATATCTTTGCTATTCTATTTACTGTGATTGATGCTCTTTGTTATAGAAGCTCTGTTTTCAGCTTTTCGTGAGTTTTTTTATGGAAGTTTTATTTAGACTAATTTGATGAACCTGAACTAGAATTGTGATCCTTTCAACGATTTATTTGCCTTTTGTTTTGTGTGCATATACTCATTTGAGTTATTTTTTATGGTTCTGTTTTAAAATTTGGTCAGTTTAGTTAGTATGAAAATCATGAGATCAATACATTTCATTAGATTTTGTAATATTTTTTCTTGCTTACAATTAATGCACGCCTATACATGATTTGCACCTAATTTTCTCACCATTATGGAATTCAATACTTGAAGCTTCGGATCCAGATACTGTATTGCGGAAAAAACTATGCTCTATCGGAGAGCCCTACTTGAGAAGGTTTTTTTTTTTTTTTTTTTTTGATAACAACTTGAGAAGGTTTTATACTTTTTATATCTTTGCTGATACTTTTTTTGTTTTTCCTTTTACTCTCTTCACGAGGCATGTAAATTTCTACTATTCTATTTTTAAGTGTTAGAAAATAATATAAATCATTAAAAAAGCTATCACCCAATATCTTAAAGTTTTGGGTTTAAGTGGTTCTTTATGGTATCAGAGCTTTAGTAACCATAAGGTCACGAGTTCGATCCTCACCACCCCCACTTCCAAGTTGAATTAAATAAGCACAAGATAAAAAAAATAAAAATTTGTATCTATATAATATCCACGCTTCAAGCCCAAAGTATAATATCCACGCTTCAAGTCCAAAGGACTCTTGCGTGAGGAGATGTGTTAGAGAATATTATAAATCATTAAAAAAGTTATCACCCAATACCTTAAAATTTTGGGTTAGGATGGTTCATTACATTAAGTTAAATTTTTTTTTTCCAGATGCTATTTCTCCTTGTCTAGCTTGTTTGTCAATTATTCTTGTTTAATCAAATGTGCCTATACCTGGCACTCAATTATTCCTTTTGACCAATTATCCTAGTTAGTGTTCATTGTCCTTACAAGGTTCATTTAGTTAAATCTAATAATACCTTCAAATTACATCAATTCATCTTTGAACTTGCTTGACACTAGGTGTTCAAGGATCAAATACAAAGTCAGATATAATACAATTTTGTTATAGATATTACCACTCAACTAATGCAAAATTGTATGTGTCAAAATTTTAAGGAAATAATATGTTCATCAAAGAGATATGAATATTTCAACTTCAATTTTTCCGATTCAACGAGCCAAGATTAATCTCATTCCTCTGCTCATAAAATTTGCTCTCCTCTTTGCTATTTTATATATTCTATTGACTAATATTGAAGCTCTTGAAACGAAATCAAAAGCTTCGTGCAAGCATTGATGTAGAAGCTTTGTTTTCCACTTTTTGATGTTTGTTTCTATGCTACATTATTTTGTTGAACTATATATATATATATATATATATATATATATATATATATATATATATATAGAGGGAAATATTAACCTCATGTCACATGAGACAACTCTCTCCTACACCCTAAAAAAGACACGGGTTCCACTTCAATTTTTTCTCTCTTTTTCCATGCAACGGGACCTACATAAAATTGTGAGTGCAACATGAGATAAATATCTCCTATTGCATAAGAAAATATAATCTCATATATATATATATATATATATATATATATATATATATATATATATACCGTGACAAATTTATTTTGACTACTGTAATAAACATGGAGTAGATAGCTGATGTTTTCATTCTGTTGTTTGTTTTCATAATCGCCAATTTTCAATTTCCTAGAATTATTCAACTGGAGTAACCATTTTTTTAATTTCAAAAATTATTTTTAGCATCCAAGCATTACCGACGATGGATCGTACAATGCTTTACTAAATTTTTAAAATCATTAAGGGTCTAAAATCCGATCTTGATAAGCAGCGTGTGCTTTACATGACTATTATAGGAGACCCACAATTTACTCGCAAAATAAAAAGTTCTCTTAGGAAATTTTTAATTATTTATCTAGATTTAAATTATGACTTAATTATTAATCTAGATTATAGGAATCATAATAATTTCATTTATGAGAATAATTTGAAATCAAAATAACTGCCATAACGATCATTAAATTATTAAATTCGTTATGTGCATATTTCGAAAATTAGAATTAATGTCATAATGACTATTAATCCAGCCTATCAAATGTAATAACCATTACATTTAAATTTCTAAATATGAATTAATTACCATAACGACTATTAATCTAGTTGTACAAACATAACAGTCATTATGCTCATGTAATTAACAAGTTATGCAACAATATGACACCATTTATTCTATATGTCATGATATCACATCAAACATGTTATCACTTCATATAATTCATTCATTCATAAAAATAAAACAATTATAACCTAAAATTTAATACATGGTTCCCTAGAGAAAAAAAATAAAATTACAAATTAGAACAAAAAACTCTTCTGCCCATTTCCTTCTTCCTTTTAGTCCTTAGGTTCTGTTTCATGTCCCTTTATGGTAACTATGGGCCCAAAGGCCCAAAATACCAAACTTTGGCAAGAAACTCTAAGTCAACTTTTAGGAACCCTAGCCGTCACATCCACTGTGTCGTCACCCGAACTCATCTCAGCACAAAACTCCAGAGTAAGGACTGCCATGAAGAGACGAAACCACGGATGATGGAACCACCGTAATATAACCTTCCACGCACAGCTACTTTCGGCAGAGCGTGGAGGCAAGTTCAACGTCATCTCTGTCGGAGCCGGTCGCAGTCTTGCATGATTTTCTTTCTTCTTTCACGCCATGTGTTGGTTTTTCAAATAGGCCACCCGAAAGTCAGGAACATGTCCAAACAGTGACGAACGCCATTCTTTTTGCATCTTTTTGATATTTTTTCATTACAATTTTTTGTAATACAACGAAAATATAAAAATAATTGAAATAAAAAATCATGGAGGAAACCTAATCATAAGAGATTAGCCTCCTTGTTACAACCCAAGAAAATACAACCAAATCTCTACCATGGATTAAAGCTGAAAATCAAATAAAAGCATCTATTTTTATAAAAAGATTATAAAGGATACACATGCCAACACATAATAACAAATATAGAACCCTATGTGCCATATTTCACGAAGCTAACTAATTACGTGAATAACTGTAAATAAAAAAACTAGATCCACATCCAAACATGCAATCCGGATCCAATACCAATTGTAGGCGCAATTGGATCTGCGAAAGTATTTTAGATAATTGCGGTTTGGGTTGCAGCAGATCATCATTGTTTTTTCTGAGTACCTCTTGTAGCGCAGATCATAGATGATGCTCCATATATCACCTCGTAGTTCTAAAACATATATTTATATGTTAAATGTGGATTAAAGGGTAGGATTAGTGAAAATCCTGAAATTAGGGTTAAAATACAAAGGAAGGGTAAAACGGTAATTCGCCAAACACGTAACCCTAGGAAAGTAAAATTGAGTAGAAGGTCTCAAATGAGAAAACTAACCCTGAAAATGGATTCAGAACGAAAAATTGAGTAGTTAAACAAGCTTCTGGAAATTTGATGAATAGTGTTTTTACTGGGTAAAAATACTGCAGTACAGTTGCACCGTAAAGCGTGCCAAATGAATTTTGAGCTCTAAGTTTGGATATAAGTTATAAATAGTACATAGGACTAGGAAATATGATTTCTGATGAAAATTGATGGAAATTAGAGTGTTTGGGGAAGCGTGCCCACATCGGGCGTAACAACTTAAAACTGCGATTTCTCCGAACGACCGGAAAATTCCGGATTCATATGATCAAGAGCAGTTAAAGGACAATGATTAATGTTAAAAATTAGAGTTTCTAAATAGTTTAGGAAATTATG